ATATATATCTCAAGCACAGATATCACAAGTGCTTTTTTAATTGTATATATCATATCCTCTCTTCAGAGAGAAATTTAAACTTTGACAAAAAGTGAGTGAGAGAAAATTAAAGTTTTAGTTATAGAATATGATCCATTTATTCAAAACATAATATTTGAATTTTATTTTATGAGTATAAAAAAAATATTATAATGTAAGTAATTCACATTTATTACATACGACTTAATTACTTAAATAATATTAAAATCAAATTATATTTCTTAAGTATAAGAGTAGAAGGATTCATTTAGTAACATTTTTTAGCTACAACTTATATTGTCTTAAATTATTTTAAAGAATAAGGGTTTAGTGAACTAAAAAATAAATTTCTTTAGTCTCTAATGGTTTTAAGTGCGAGTCTTAAAAATATTATTACATTATATTAAAAATAACTAAAAAACTATAAAAAATTGAAAAACAATTCTTATAATATAAAAATACTAAAACAATTATTAAAAAATACATGATAAAAGGAATATACTTAAAACTTATGGTTGTTTAATAAGGTGTGACTAGTGACTACATGAAAGAATGGCGGATTCAAGGGGCTGCCACTGGTACACCACAGATCACAATAATCATATTGGTTATAACACAAACATCAGGTTATTATGTTCATAAAAAACGTTTGATCATCCATCCAATATTACCTTGTACCCTTGCCTCTGCATTTAACTTAATTTTTATCAAGAGTGGTGACATGTTCGCTAGTGAACGTTGGGATTTTATTGGGAAAGAAATATACACTCTCACCCAATCTCTAACATTAATTCTTATAGCCAAAGATATATGAGAATGAAAAAAAAGTGTTAAGATATATTATATGATAAAAGAAATATACAGAAAAAAATGCGTAAGAATTTATTATAAAAGGAATACTATTCTTATTTGAAGTCCAATTTCAGTAGTACGATTCGTTCGATGTGACTTAGTATCGATTTGATTGAAAATTAAGTAAAATTAATTTTGAAACGTGGAATAAAATTGAGATGTATTTATAAATTAATTTAAACTATATATTTTAATTAAAATGTGTGCTTTTATATTAAAAATCAAGAGAATTAATTTTTTAACCGTGGAACAAATAACTGAAATAAGGGTTTAATATGTGAAAACTTGAGTCTTTAACTTCAACAGCCAAGCTTAAACGGTTGATTCTATATGTCAATGTTGTATCAATTGTTGGAGTATAACACCACTTCTCAAAAATTTTAAATTTACTAAACGTTATCCATATTAAGTTGAAGTACTAAGGTAAGGATATTTCTCATACCCCCTTAATGAATTTTCTCTTTTGCTGTTTAAGAAAAAAAAATTTGCCCTAGTCACAATTCATCATACTAGTTAAAGAACTCCCTCTCTCTCTCTCGATCGATCGATCGATCTTTGGAGGAAGAAACATGGGCGTGTCAATAATTAAAGTAGTACAATAACCTTTTCGGTTTAAGCTAATATCCACTTGATTGGCATCAAGGGTCCACAAGCCAGTTCCTGTAGCATAGGACCACTTCAAGTACTGTTTTTCTCTCGAACAAAAAAAAAGGGTACTGTTTTCCTGAATTTATCATAGTTGAGGGGTGGCCATGTACTAGTGTTGATGTGCCCCCATGCATATAATGCCAATGCAATGTGCTGGTCCCTGTGAGGTTTCTATCTCGGATTTGGTATCACACTTGAGATTGTTCACTTCACTGTTCCTCCTCTGCTCAACACACCAACATTCAAATATGATTCAATATGCATGCCCATATGCAGTTTGTTCACGTCAATCCCCCTTTAGGACATGTCTTCCAGTGCAAGAAAAATAGGACCATGGCCCAGCCCAGTTCTCACTTTTTCTTTCCCAAGCTTCACTAGGAGTATACATCAAAGAGGGTAATAATCCAAAGGGGTAGTATATATACTCTTAATTTTGAGGGCATTTAAAGAGTTGACTGGAAATTGCTTCATATATACAACGGCATTTTTTGAGATATACCAATAGTTTAATTTCGAATAGAAAAGAAAATTGATCTAATTGATGTGTCATTTTCTGATTTTTCTCATGCTATATTTTCAGATATATTTTTTCATGATTTATTAGCCTAAAATTACTGCAATATATTTAACTTTTGATAGCAGTACTAAGGCGTCACAAAAAATGACTGTTGATAATTGTTATATTTTATTTTCCACGCTATTAAAAGGAGGAATAAAGATATATGTTATTTAAACAACTGTTATTTAATAAATATAGATGTTATCTAAAAAAATGCCTACATCGTCTTCCAAAAAATCTGCAGACAATCAATTGCTTTCCTCACGTTCCCATCGATTACTCCCTCAGGAATGCCAAAAGGGATAGAGTGGCTATGGATAATAAATATCTATTTCATACCCACGTTGATATTCGTTGAACAGGTTTGTTATTACTTATGGATACTTCTAGATATCTACATATATTTATTAAAAAAATATTTAAAGTATCTTATAGGTAAAATTATAACTAAAAGAAAAAGCAAAGTAATTGATGAATTACAAAAATAGCACAATATTTAATTTTAGTATTAATAAAAGGTAACAAAGCATGGCTTGTTGTTGCATAGGGCTTTTTATTAGAGTGGCTGGGATATTGAAATCACACCTTCAATTTTGCATAAGGCCTAAAAGACATACACTCTGAAAAACAAAGAAAACAGAAGAAATTTAGAAATGTGTGTGCACTCACAAATCATCTGCCAACAACCACTTCATGCTCTACTAAAACCTCACTACATTAAAGACCTAGTATGTATCATATACTATCGTGCATTTTTAAGGATAGTTAAAAAAAAAACTGAAAAATTGAGAGGTTATTAATTAACGTCTATTTTTATGTGTAATCATGCTGACCAAATTTCTAACTGTTTCTTTTTTATATAAATCCTCATTTCTCTTTGCGGGAAAAGAAATGAACAATGGCTTACTGTTGTTTTTACCTGACGTGGTTTAATTGACACATTCATTTTTTCTTTTCCTAAATATTACAGCGCAAACTAGCTGATATTAGGAATTTGATACATGATTATTACCATGTTGATAAAAAAAAACACCGTGATTTTCAAAGAGGAAAATTCATTTTTGGTCTTTTCAAAAAGATACATATCGTTTCGATCAGTTTGGTTCTTCTTTATTATTTTGGTTAAATAAAAGGGAAGTGCTATGTAACTTCATCTGCTGGCTCCATTTATATATTGTGCTGAATTTGAAGGGTGCATGAAAGGTCTAAATTAGAATAAGTTGAATGAATTAAAAATACATATAAGATCAAATTGAGAGAATTTTATAATTTAAGGATTGAATTATTTGGTTTTACTTAATCGTCTAAAAAATTATGGTAGATAAATATTAACCAGTTATAACATATTTAACTAAAAGAAACGGGTATTAATGCCCAAAAAGCATATTTGGCTAAAGTTTTCTTACTTCAAGTTAAATGAGTTGTTATTTTATGATTTGCTTTATGTATACAAGCATCACACATACACTAGTAACCTTCTGACTAACCACTAATTTGGCATGTCATGAATTAGAACCATACATCATGTTGGTTTCCAAAATTTTCCACAAAACAAGGTATCAAGAACTATAACCCTTGAAGAGCATGTTTTGGCTGCAATGGTAAATAACATGTCTAGTTGATAGGAGTACGTTTTTCCCTCCTCATGTGAAACACAACACGATCTTGAACCTTTTTGAGAATTCTTCTAATTCAGTTAAATGTGCAAACTGGGCATTCAGTAAATGCCCCTTCAAAGGTAGGGCATGGTGGAATTTAAGGTTTTATTATTCGCAATTTTCAGTAAAAGTTATGGCCATCGACACACTTTTATCTTGGTTTTAAGAAACAAGGTTAAATACAAAGAAATTTTGAGATACAAATTCTAAAAGGTAGTTGCGTAATACGCAATTGTCATGTCATTTTCACATGAGAGTATGAGACTATATCTTCTCTAGCACAATGCCAAACAACTTTGTAAGTGTAAAGATATCGTTAATTACTCTCCAGAGAAACGTATTTCAATGAAAAAGAAGAGTTTGTTATTAAATTTAAAGTAGAGAGGGGTTACACTGCCATTTCCATTTCAACTCCAGCACGAGTCTTTGAGCAGAAACGTATTCTTTTTTTTTTTTTTTGTCTCTTCATGTCTTCTCTGTTTAACAGAAAACTAAAAAACCAAGTTAGACTAACGAATTAAACAGATAAATCTAGGTGATGTTTATAAGTTTTTAATTTTGGAATGATTTCATCTCAAATTAAACATTTTTTATGTTACTAATTAACAAAGTCCAATTTAATTAATAGATGACTGTAATTTTTAAGAATGTTGATAAGAATTCGACTTTAAATCATATATATAAAAAAGAAAACTTTGTTTGAAAAGGTAAAATTCACTTCAATGATCTTTGTCTTAATTAAATTTGACTATCGACTTAAAGATGCCTTTGATATTGATAAAAAAGAATTATTTTTATGACAGATTTCATAAAAATATTTTTTTCATTTATCATTTTAGTTAGTTATAAATATTATTGTAAGTCTTTGTATAACTTTATTGTCAAATTATCATAACTTTAGAATGAGACAAAGTTCTATTCTCCTAATGTTGATAAAAAAAAAATCCTTTCATTGGCCTTGTTTCATAATAATAAACAAAGGTATTTACACATCATTTTTATATCATGTAATACAAATTGTAAATCCAAAATTATATTAACCATTATCAACGTAGAGTAGTAAAAATAATATTCAACGACCATTTTCCTTGGGTATTTACAATTTTAAAAAACAAATAATGTAAGATCTAGAAAGGACGGGGATAGTTAGGTAAATGCAGTATGTAACATACGAAGTACCTACGACTACGAGGGTTCACCTTCTTTAAGGTTAGTTCACATGATTGCCCAAAGCCGAAAAAGTCAGGTGGAAATCAAACCCTCACCCACTTCATCTTTCGACACGTGGCAATGTTGTGATTGTGAAAACCCCATCTTTCTCTCCATTGCATGATCCCCTTTAAGGTTTCTCCCATTTTTCTTCGAAATTTCCACTACCTCTTTCTCCACCGTCCGATGAATCGAGCGCGTTGCCATCACACAGTAGATTAGGTCCACTTTACGTGTGGCACAAAACTGCTTTTTACTGGCTTACGATTCTTACATTACAATGGTTTTTAATTTATTGATGAGTTTGTTTATAAGGGTCCTTATCATTTTTCTTAATGAAAGCAGAGGGCACAGGGTGATATAGCTAAGCTGAGAGAAAAAGACAGGTAGAGAGAGATTTCATTTTGGAGTTAGCATCCATTAGGGCTTGATAAGGATGGTTTTGCTCAGATTCTTAAGCAAGCTCCAAGGACAATACAACTTCACACCCTCTCTTCTCTGTTTATAAATATACATATAATATACCATACCTACACAGCTACCCCAAATCAAATTTTTCCTTAGATTTTAGTATATTTTGTAAATTTTGTATTTTTTTTAGTGGATATTTGAGTGTAAGAAAGAAAAGGAGAAGAGGGGTTAGTGGGCAGAGAGAGAGAGAGAGAGAGAGAGAAAGATGGGAAGGGGAAGAGTGGAGTTGAAGAGAATTGAGAACAAGATCAACAGACAAGTGACCTTCGCGAAACGAAGAAACGGGCTTTTGAAGAAAGCTTATGAGCTTTCCGTTCTTTGTGATGCCGAGGTTGCTCTCATCATCTTCTCCAATAGAGGAAAGCTGTACGAGTTTTGCAGCAGCTCAAGGTATATATGTGTGTATATATATTCACTAAAATGTAAAAACAAAAACAAATAAATATAGAAGAAGAAAATTTGAAACTTTTTTTTGTTTATTTCTTCTAAAACCATAGGTTATATTTGTATATGTGTATGTGCACATAAAACATACTAGCACCAAAAAAGGAACTGCAGGAAACCTTTCTTGTTCTCCACAACTTTCTCTTCCTTCAAATTTTTTAATGCTTTTGATTCTGCTTCCGAGATCTCCGAAGCTCTCTCTCCCTTTGATTTTTGCTGTTTTCAGTGATTGAAGAGGACCAGCTAGTGTTTGCCAGTTTCTGAAATTTTATTTATTTATTTGAATTTTTTGAGAACAAGAAGCAAAAGTTGATTTTCTTTTTTCACTGTTTAGAGTTTTTCCGTTTCTGTGAATGTCTCGGCGTTTTTAGCAGGTTGAGTATTTCTGTGATGGTGTTGCTGTTAGATCTGCAACTGGAAACGCAAACAAATATAAATATAATAAAACAACGCTGGATCACTGTTGTATTGACTATTCTAACTCTTCCTTGTTCTTTAATTTGTGTTTCCCCAACCCTTTACCTTTCTCTTTCTTACCCTCTTTTGGGTCTCAACCCAGCCATCCAAAATTTCTTTTTTTGCTTCATTTGTGTTTGAATCAGATCTGGTTCAAAAGCTTTTCCCAAAAGCCATTTGGGGTCTGCTCAGGCTTCTTTTCTGTGCAATTCAAGTGTTGGGAAATAAAAAGCACATCATTAATTATTTGTTGTGTGTGATGTTTTAGCAGCCAGTGTCTGCTTTTGGTTTCAGTGTTTAAGAATCACTCAAACAACCAAACCTAACCCAATACCCATGTCTCCTTCTTTTTCATTTTCTTTTACTCAAGCCAAAGGGACTCTCTCATTTACATCTCTGGGCCTAGCTAGGGTTTCTTATATTTCTACAATTAGTTCTTTGTTTTCTCAGTATCTGTCCATTTCTTTCTTCTCTTTGTATATTATTTAAAGCTTTTGTCTTCTTTTTTTTAATTTGCCTTAGCTTGCTAATTTTTCTTTATTATTTATTTATTTTTATCAAGCTTTGTAATTGTACTAAATAATTCTCTGCCTTATAATCTACCTGGGGTTTTCACTTCTTCCTAGATTTTCAACCATGACCAGAAAGCAAAGCTGTGTTTTCGCTTCGATTCAACCACTTGCTTTAGTGTTCGTTTATCTTCATAGGTTATTTGAAAGCAGATGTACGTTTGATGTTTTCTTTTCAATTGATCATTATCATGATGGAGACATGTTTATAACAGGTTGATATACTTATGTTCAATCAGGATCAGAATGGTCTTTTCTTATAGGGCTTCGAGTATACAGTGGATATATAATTTGACCTCTATCTCCTTCTCCATTCTAAGAATACACGCGTTGAAATGTTTTTCATTGAGTTATAAATGTTTCAAAGCCTAGCTAGTGGCTAGACAAACCAACATTTTCTAGACATACATCGCCTTCTCATTTCAAATTTGCTTCTTCTCATTTTCTAGAGCTCTCTCTCTCTCTCTCTCTCTCTCTCACACCCGAACAATGCTATGTTCCCTGTGTCTACTTCTGGGTTTAAGAAGTGAGCTACCTCTTTTGTTATCCATAGGATATATCCGTTTTCTTTAGCATCATTTGATTTTGATACCATCTCTTATTTAGTAATATATAGAAGAAAGGTCTTATATTCACATCTCATGGTGTATTTGGATGCATGATTAATGGCATGTTTGAAACATATAAACAAATTAATAAAATAGATTGTGATACTAAAAAAAATATTTTTACATAACTTTCTATAATAAATTTTATAGTTAAATATCGATCTACCTTGGTGCGTATCAATGGCCTGGGTTTCTCATCACTATTTTGCAGTGGTTTGAAGAACCCCCTTGAACTTTTTCTTAATATATTTGTCTTATAAAAAAGAAAAAATCGATCAACTAACTATAAGTTGTTCTTTGCCTGAGAAAATCAACATCTTTTGGCCAGGTGGAATTAGACTTAAAAGCAACTTTGAGGTCAAAAGACGTTTCGATTTTACTTTTAAATAATATTGTTATAACTCTTGCTAAATAAAACATGTTAACTAAGCAGTAATTTCCTTTTTTTTCCCTCCTTTTTTGAAGCATAAGTACAACTATGTACATCTGTCCTGTAATTATAGAATTATATATTTTGTACACACGATTTTTTGAATGTTTATAAACATTATTTTATCTCAACGTGCAGCATGCTCAAAACGCTAGAGAGGTACCAGAAATGCAACTATGGAGCTCCTGAAGCCAATGTGTCAACAAGGGAAGCCTTGGTATTGGTGAATCATCCCATAATCCCTATTTAATATAGTACTTCTGCATTTAACTTGCCTAATTTGATCACACCAATTTCTTTATGTTTCATTTTTAACTTTTTTTATACATACAAGGGAATACATATACTTATCCTAACTAGTTTGAGCTTGTTGAATTATACAACAGTCTTGACATAATGCCTCTTGCTCTACAATCCATCACGTATTAGGAATATATATGGGTTCGAGATTTTGAAATGGTTTTTCTTTTTATTTCGAAAGAAATCTTCAATCATTTGAATTGTAGTTCATGTCATTACTTGGCTTAAAGATAATAAACCAATTGATCATAAGCCAAACATATATAGGCCTACACTAGCAGGTTATGTTTGCATCATTGAAAATACTATTAAATTAAGAGACATTTTGAAAAGATTTACAGAATTTATTAGAATTTATAAAAATTGTCAATAAGTTTTATAATTTTTTATAGAACTTATAAAAAAAACTTGTTTTAATTTATCAAAATAAGGTTTATGATAAAATTATAACATAACTACTATATGAAATAAAAAAAATTAAAAAAAAAACTTATTCAATAAGAATTGAAGTATTTGCTTAAAGCACAGAATCCTCCTTAGATTTCTGGTGAAATGTGAAATCTTGTTTTCTCGCCAACCCTTTCCCAGCTGCATCTATTTCTTATAGAATCCCTGCTCACACAATCCTCCACTAGACCATAGGTAGTTCTGGTCATCTATATAGAATTTTTTGCCTTCATTTATCTTTCATATTATAGAAATTAATAATGGCAAGTTCCTCTCTCTATTTATTTATTTTTATCAATTAATCTGTTGTGAAGACAAAACTTTGGCTACTGTTCCATGCAAGAGATCTGGATCTCGTGTTTCTTTGTAGAAAATCAAGTTGAAGCAACGGTGCCCTTCAATCTTCAGGCTATGCTTTGGATGGAAAGGTTTTCAGAGAGAAACGGGTTAATTTTTTATTTTTAACTTGAGAAGAATATAAAATTTTATAAAAATAAATAAAAGTATTTATTGAAATGGTAGATGATAGTATCGCTCCTCTTATTCCTTTCTCTAAGTTAGTAGTTCTGCTCTTGATAATTTGATCGAAAAGTATTTCAAAGCAACGTTTACCAGTATGCCTACCTAATTAATTTGTTAAGTTGTTCTTAATTAAATACCACAGAACATATACCAACAAAATTGGTTTCATACTTTAGGGAACACTGGTTTGTTAATGCATAATTGATTCTTCTTTTTTTTTTCGCATGTACGATAAATATTCTTGATTTATACGTATGATAAAAAAAAATCCTGATGTTGATATTTTGCATTAATTTGTGCTTTAAATTTGTAAAACATAAAACTTATATATATATATATATTAAAAAATTAGACTCTTTAATTTGCACACTAAATGTATGAGTCGCCCATTAATATTTTGATGATTGTGTGCGTTCCAAAAAAGGATAATAACTATCCATTTACTTTGTTATCCATCCAACTAGTCAATTAGGGCACAGTTGTCGGTGTCTATACGAATCATCATGTATCTATCTTCTTAACTATATAACAACGTTGATTTTGCTTCCTTGGGTGCATGTAGGAGTTAAGCAGTCAACAGGAATACTTGAAGCTGAAAGCACGTTATGAAGCTCTACAGCGTTCTCAGAGGTATAGGTGCTCCATTATATTTATAAATATAAGCTATATTATACACTTTATATTAATTAAAGTTATGATATTTATATATTTGACTGATACTCTTATTAATTAGGAACCTTATGGGAGAAGATCTTGGCCCTCTTAGCAGCAAAGAGCTTGAATCACTTGAAAGACAGCTAGATTCATCTTTGAAGCAAATCAGATCCACAAGGGTACTCAAGTTTACGTCAAAACATTGTTACATCCTTAAGTCAATCATCTAGGTCAACTCTTCTCTCGGTATTCATATATATGCTTTCCTAACTTTGTGTGTGTGTGTGTGTTTTTTTTTTTTTATCCTATAGACCCAATTCATGCTGGATCAGCTCTCTGATCTTCAACGCAAGGTATCAGAACAGTTTTCCTTTCCTTTGTTAATGTTCTATCTTCTTTCAGCAAGTTCCTCCCCATGCTCACCAGTTTATAAATTATGTCACATGTGAAGGAACACTTGCTAAGTGAGGCAAACACAGCTCTCAGACAAAGGGTAAGAAACATGTCAACCTAATTAATTAAAATTAAAAAATCGCTCAATTAATTTAAGGTTCATATATAGTTCTAATTATATATATGATTTATACTTTTGAAATAATGACCATGGATTAAGATGAGGGAAACAGTTATAGTACTGCATGCATGACCAAAACAATTATTAGGAAGATATGATTTAACAATTAAATTTGAATGCACAAACCCTCCTCAATAACTATTGAAATTTTAAGTGAGTTGTGCATTTATTATTAATTGCAGTTGGAAGGGTATCAAATAAATCCACTCCAAATGAATCCCAGTGCTGAAGATATGGGATATGGCCGCCATCCAGGTCAAACCCAGGGCGATCTCTTTCAACCATTGGAGTGTGAGCCAACGTTACAAATTGGGTATCTACTTTGTTAAATTATTGATTTATGCATAGTTGTAAATTGTATCAGGGACAAATTTTAGTTGGCATGATAATGATGAGAGAAAATGAAAGAATGGGGCAAGAGATTGTAGGGTATGCGTAGTTGTTTGGAATTGACAGAGTCTATAAAGTACAAATAATCCATATATTAGCACACTATTGCATGACAATTTATATTTTGCAATCATGTTAATTAATATTAAGGGGTGACGGGCTAATGGAACAACATATGAACCATAGATGTTATTATATTACATATTCTTAATATTAAAATTTGTTTAAACTTGAAACGCAGATATCAGCCTGATCCAGTATCAGTGGTGACAGCAGGCCCAAGCATGAATAATTACATGGCAGGATGGTTACCATGATAGAGAGATTGTGAACTGTGAAGCATAAATGAAGATCCTGCTGTTTCAATTTTATTTGAAAGGAAAAGAGAAATTTGTGATAGCATGTAATGGACTTATATACACCAGTGTCTACCGTCTAGGAACAATATAAGCAATGTTTTTGTGTGTGCGCTTTCATAAACACCACCTCCTTCCTTCCATCACTCTTTCTTCCCTTTCATAATAAAATTATTGTTTGCACCCTTTGCCTTTTCAATATCTACCAATCACCTCAACTTTTCCGTGTGCTATCTCTTTAAAAGTTGTGTTTTTCTCTTCTCAACTTTTGGGACAAAACTTATATAGATATTATTATTGTTATTTTTCAATCACAATGTTTCAATAGAATTAGAATTAAAACTTATGTAAGAATTAGTAATGTCGTAGTTTTAGAAAATTATAAAACAGATTCTATTGCCATTTTAAAAATATTACAAAATAGTTCCTAAGCTTAATTTTTAAATATTAAAAAATAGTCCTTTTAATTTATCTTTTTCTTACTTTCAGCACCTCTCCTTTGAAACCGTCTCACCCGTAATAGTATGAACACTAATTACGTAGGATCTGTGAATTTCTATTTTATTTCATTCATTCCATATCACCGTAGACCAGACATGTAATTAAGGTCTGTTTGGTAAAATATTGGAACACGTCCAAACTCGTTTTCCTATTAGAAGCATGAATTCAAGAAAATTTTCTGCTGAACAACCTTGATGAAATTTCATCTATTAACTTTTTTTTTAATCTCCGAGAATTATATTATCTTCAAAAAGGATTTAGGATGACAATAATAATTATCATAATAGTACGATGAATGACTATTGAAAAGAGAATTTGAATAGTTATCGTGACACGCATAATTCACGTCAAACAAATTGTATTGACTTATTTGAAGCGAAGGAGGCTTCACCAGTTGTCGAGTTCTTGAAAGACCAACAACAACAACAACAGGCATCACAAACATTTTTATTCATTAAAATTGGAACAAGATAAGGTCTTACGTCAGTCATAAGAATAATAGTTTTTTAGTAAACTAAAAAAAATATAAATAATAAAAAAATATGAACAATATAATTGTCACTTCCCATTCCATGACCATGAATGACGTGTACCAATCTAATCGCTTAGCATGCTTCCAGATAAAGTACCCTCTTTCCTTCTTGGCATTCCTACCCAAATCACTTTGTTTTTTGTGTTATATATCCAAAATCCAAACCAAATCCAAATCCAAACATCGTTATTGCTGTTCAACATAACCAATCCAATACCCTTTTCTCTTTTTCGTTCATCCATACATATCATTTTAATTTTCAACGTCAAAATTCGTTTTTTTTTGTTTCTTCAACACAAAGCAAAGCAGAGGTCAAGCAAGTTACAGCAAGTTTATCCAATTGCCTCGTTTCTAGCAATACCCACCTCCCTTTTGTTTATTTATTAATTATTAAATTCTTCTGTTTCATCAAATTTTGACAAAAAGTAAAAGAAAAAAGAAGAAAGATGATGAGAAGAAGAGAAGAAGAAGAGCAATCTCGAGCTTTATGCGAGCTCTCTGCTCTCGTTTTCAACCTCATTCGATCACCTCCAACGCCGTTAACTTTCTCCGATCATGTTCCGGGGCCGCCGTCACGGCGTTCGCGGCAGCCTCAGATCTCGCCGGCGGGGTTTGCCTCGCTGCTTCTCGGAATATCACTGGCTTTGATGCTTTGTGGATCGGTGACGTTCTTCATAGGGTTCATGTTGATGCCGTGGGTTCTGGGATTGGTGATGGTCCTCTACGTCGCCGGAATCGTCTCCTCTATCTCCGTCTTGGGCCGTTCCATTCTCTGTTACGCCACCGCGCCACCGTCGCCGCGTACGGGTATTCCCGGTTAGATAATTATTATTCAAATTTCTGGATTTCGAAGATGATATTTGGTTTTTGTTTTTGTATTTTCTTGTAAATGCAAAGTTTTTATTTTGTATTTGGCAGAACTTAATTTAAATTATTAAGCTTAATTAAAATTTGGGTTTGAATTAATTTTGATTAAAGATTTTATGTTGAAAATATATTATAGTGAAAAGAATTAATTCTGAATAGTTTTCAAACGGAGACTGAAACAGAGTTGCAGTGTTTAGTTTTAGTGAAACAAAATTTAATGATAACGTTTTTCACTGTCAGGAAACGGAAAATTTTGTACATAGCTTATAGATGTTTGTCTTTTTCCTAGGACTAGTATTTGATTTAAAATTTCGTAAAATCAATATTAATGGAATTGATTTTAAACTATAGAGAACATGATTGTCTAAATTAATTTTGTGTTGTAATGAATGTTTTATTAAAATTAATGTTCTAACTTCATAATAATAAACATGACTAAGTTTCATTATGCTTTCTTAGAAAGCTAGTTACATGGATGGTTGGTATCAAAACCACAGCAATTGTAGAATTCTCCATAACCTTACATTTTAGGGCAGGGGTCTCTGTTGAACATGAAAAGAAAGGCTATGCATATTAGTTTTGTCTTAAAAGTATTTCGATTTAGAACAAAAATTGAGAAAACTGTATCCATTTTCTTTTCTGGATATTCTTATTGGGAAATCTTTGTTAATTTGGTATGCAATTTATGAGAAGATTGCAAGATATCTGGGTGAGATGTTCAGAACAGGTTCAATGGGGTGCATTTGTTAAAATCAACCTAGCTAATTGGGTAAATTGTGCCACGCTTACAGTAATATTTTACTTGTCTTTTTAATTTACTCTTTTTTATGTCCATTAATTGGTTTTGATTCATAGCCTACATAAACTGCAGCTCATCGCTTCCACTTTGAAAAACTAGGCTTAAATATCATGTTTTGGTCGTAAAGTTTTGAACTCACCCTTTGTTCTGGTTTATCTACCTGATGGGACATTTATCTTCATTTTGGGTATTCATTTTCAACTTCTTATTATTATTCCTTGAATCATGAGCCTGACCCTAATGGCTTAATTAATAAAGTTTGTTGTTGCTTTCAGAGTGGAAGCTTTTGTGAAGTGACAAATGGAGAGTGAAACTGAGGAGTACCATAGTGGGTTTTGTGCTGCCTCACGCAACCTATTGAACATTCAAGTTACTGAAGATTGCAGAGCTTGTCCTTTCATTAGATGCAGAATCATGGATAATGGGCTCTTAAATTACTCAACTTTGGGGATATGGCTTCTCTGTGCATTAGAAACAGCCAAGTAAAATTCTGAAGGGTATTGAAGGGTTGTTCCCAGATTCCTTCTTTCGTTATCAATTACTTTATTTAACTTAATTTGCACCCTCTTAAATTCTTAAGCTTATGCTGTTGAATTTCCTTTGGTTCAGTTCTAAACTTGGCATATATTATGTAGAAAGAGAAGGAAAACATGATTTGACTCCTGAAACGGGGGTTGTATCGGATTAAGAAGAATATTTTGGAATCTAATGGTTGCTGGGTCTGTAGCATTAGTAGCTGATATTATTTATTTGCATATTGTTTTGATGTTGGATTATTGTGCACTCTTGTGACATGCTTAAAGAAAGGTTCGAATATTTTAAACATTTCCTATGCAACTTCAAAATTTGATTGATGGAGTAAAGAAAGACATTTCTTGGCATTTAAAAGTGATAGAATCTTCACTTGGTTTCTTAAAATGTATATTTTTGTTTAGATGCTTTGTTTATCTGAATTCAAACACCATCTATTCCTTGTGAAATTTTCAACTTTAAATAAATTAATTATTAAACTAGTGTTTAAAGGTTATCAACTTGCAACAAAAGCTGATAGGCTCCTTTAAATTTTTCAAGTTGTAAAAAGGAAAGAACTCTCACTTTGATAATTACTATATGCGTTATGATATTAATTTCTTAAAAAAATTATCATGATATTGCCTTTTAAGTACAAAAAGCATTACCATACTAACAAATTTTTCGAGTATGTAAAACTTACAAATGAAAAAAATGGATGACTTCATCATCAACAATAAATTATACTAAATGAAAATAAATTAATTTTTTAATTAGTTAAAGTTGTTTAAATTAAATCAAGACATGTCGTCTCTATTCATATGGTATGTCAAAATTTAAAATAAAATTTTAAGATAAATGCGATATACATATATTTTTAGGAGAACAAATTGAGAATTTTTACTATAAGAAATTAAGAATTAAAGCAAAGTGACCACTTTATTATAGGGAAAGAAAGAAATATCAAGAATAGATAGATTCAATTTATTATTATAAAAAAAAAACTATATTTAAATTTGTTAGGTTTAGTTGAAGTAATTTTTAAAAATAAACATTTATCTTGATTAAATTTTAAAAAGCCTTAAAAATTAAGTAATTTTTTATTTAAATGAAATTAAACACGCCATAAATATAGGGTACCAGCATTTGAATTAATGCTTATTTTTAGTGCAAATTTGATATGTCCAACTACTAGAATAAAGTGCTAGATTTAGTGAGCATTTGATTTTTTTTATTGGAATAGAATCTAATGGTTAACGAACGTTTAACCTAACAAAACCAATCATTCTTCATTCCATCCACAATCATAACCTAACCAAAAAAAAAATCATAATCCTTTATAAGAACAAGTGTAATAATTTTTCAACGAGTAACTAAAGAAAGGCTAATTGTTAGTTATAGTTAGAATAAAAAATGTGGCGTTTGTATTACATAATGACCCTTTTATGTTCTTAATTTAGATAAAAAGTATTTGGGTTAGTCTTCTATGTAGTAACAAAAATAGCCCTTAAACAACAGGGTTTTTAATTAATTTCAAGGGTCAAGTGCGAGAATCCAGTTATAGTAAATCAAATTAAAATCACTACTCCCACTATGGTAGAAACAAAAAAGAGACAACACCAAACGTTGTTCCTTTTTCTTCTTTGTTTTTAACTACACTCAAAAGTACGAGGAGAAAACAAATAGCATATGTAAACATAAATTGATCCATCCGCAATTAATTTAATTAAAGAAAACAATATCAAAACATAAAACATCAACAACATAGGATATGAGGTTGTGCATGAATCCATTCAACCACTCTATCCAATCCAAGTGCTCCTATGCAAGAATCTCAAAGGGCAGAGAGAAGTAGAATTAAAAGAAGAAGAACATGTATATAAATTAAAACCTTAATAAAAGAATAGAATAAAGTAGAGGGGTTGATTAGCCAGTGTAGATATGCACACCAATAGCAATAAGAAATATGGTGATGAGGCCAAAGAAGATGATTGTGTGAACCAAAATAGACATGGCACTGGTTTGCATGTTCCCAAACTCAACCACTCTATTCTTCCCTGGCAATTGAAACAACAAACCAGGGCTTAGCACCACAAACAGCACCACTGCTATCACCACTGGACCCCAATCAGCCATTGGCACCAAAGTAAATACAAAATTGAAGATGATATCTTAGCTTCAAAATCTTATATAGTGAGTGGAATAATTATAAAAATTTGTTAGCGTTTGGTGCATGTCTTAGTCAATAGTGGGGTGGCTGATGTTAAAGCAATGGTCACGTGGCAGCACAACCTGAATCGACCTTTTCGTATGGCTTTTGATTGATGGAAGAACATACTAATAAGATAAGATCGAATCAATTAATTTTTGTCTCACCAGTTGAAATTAATCGAATGATTCAAATGTTGGTGTTGTGTGACACTGTTTATGCGAACCATTGCCTAGCTGGACACGTTACCCTGTGGAAATACAGAAAAGGGGAAAATAATAATTTTTTTATTTCATTGTCTAAAAATTATATAAAATTTGATGTACTAAAAACAGTACACTGAAAAAATGATAATCTATAACAGTAAGAATAACACATTATTGCATGTAGAAGCAAGGAATTATAGCCACCCATTTATGTTTACAAACCTGGGCCACTGGGCCATTGGACCTTCTTTCGGCCCTGTCTTTTCTGCCTTTTAAGTAATGACAAAATTGTTATTAAAAAAAAAAAAAAAACCTTGACGCTGCAAAAGCAAGACTAAAAAGGTTGTAAAAGAATACGATCATGTATTATGTATTAATGTTCAATTTATTTAAATTTTTTGCGTATAATTGTAAAAGTAATATAATATGATTCAACAATTAAAATTATAAATTTTATATTTTATAAAAAAATTATTGAATAAAGTAAGCGTTTAAACTTATATTTAGATAAGACATTTTTAAATTCTTACTATTTATATATATGTATAGAAAGAAAATGTAATTTTAAAATATTACCTAATTTTAATTAAATAATTTTTATACTAAACAAAAAAATTTAAAGTCACTTCTTTTTAGAGAAAATTTAAAATTCTCTCTATTATGTTTAACCTTTTATATTTATTATTTATAATTTCTTTCATACTTGATTTCAACTCAAATCATCCTCCATTATTGCTTTCTTCTATTTTATAAAATAAGCCTTAAATGAAAAAGTATATTTAAATAATTTTTATTTAATAATTATAAAAAATTATAGGAATAAAAGTTAAGAAAATTAAAAATTAAAAAAATACAAAATCTTCTATTATTTCAACCTATAAACTTTTATATTTACATAAAAGTGACACGTGTCTTTTAATAACGGAGAAAAAATAATAATATTTTTGAAAATAGTGTATATAATTTTTTGTGGGTAAAAATATTTATAAACTAAAATAGTAAAAACAAAATCAACATATTTTTAAAAACTCGTATTATTTTATTAAGTAATGCAAGCAATTAATGTTACACGGTTAAACAGATTATCAAAGGATGGACAAGTGGGAAACTTGGAGTTTGAAAAAAGATTGATTCTTCTAATCTCCTCCGTTCGAAAATAAAAAACCAAAGAAAACGGACAATTATTGTCATATTGTATTTATAAAACTGCACTTGCAATTGCATTTGGTGTAAATCTCAAAAGGAAGTGAAGGCTAAGTCAACGTCAATCCAGTCAACGTCAACTCAAGTAGTGCTTAGCACTTAGCCACGACCACCTCGTATTGCACTTGATGCTATTTTGCTCTGTTACTCCGACTTCACGTTACTCACGACTTCACGAGGGAGTTCAGGTCAGCACAACCCACAACACGTATCTACATTTGTTCACACCTTATCTATATTTCTCTTCATTATCAAACCCAAAACAAAAATTTAATTTTTTATATTTTAAGATTAAAAAATATTACTTTTAATACTATTTATTTCTTAATCGCGTATATTAACTTATTTATATAATATTATAATTTTTAAAAATTTAATTATGACCTATAAACTTGGAAAAAATAAAATGAAAGAGCATTACATGAAACGACAAAAGAAAAAAGTTAACGACTATACTTGGAAGAAGTGATTGCTGAAGGTTTGAGTTAATTGAGATTCAGAGTTGAGTGGAAAATATGCTTAAAATTATATCTCACTAAACCTTAGCCAAAGCAAGGGATCACTGTTCGAGTCTGTGGTTTGTTAAGTTTGATTTGTGCTGGTGATGATTGGTGAATCTGAAGCAGAACCAAACAAGTCCTTAGTCTCCGTTGCAAATGCAACTTCTCCGTTTCTAATTCTTCTTTCCTTTACGCCATCAATTAATATGCCACCTGGTAAAACCATTCTCTTCCTAATTTTTGTTATTCAATTTTACTTCCTATTAGCTATGTTTGGTTTCATAAGTATACACCATACTATAAATCAATTTGATGCATAAGGTTGTTTTTCTGTTAAATTTGACTTGGTTTGATTTTCTCCTGCGACTTGTCTATGTCTCTGCAACTTTGTTTATAAAGTGTACCATGCACCCTTCGAGTGGAATATGAATGGTAGTTGTTTGGACCATACTGTATAATCTACTTTGAGGACGACACATCATTTATTTTACATCATAGTTTTTACAATTATTGTCCTTCCTAGTGATATGGAGGAGTAATTCATTGGTATAGTACTGATATAAAGTAAAGCGTTATCAGCGTGTGGTCAACATTAATGGGCCAAATTTCTGAATGATTCACATTTCAAATGATTATTCCATGAAAAAGGAAGAAAGAAAGAAGAAATAATAGGAAGCGTTCTGAATCAGTGGATGATTTTGACACTGTTAATTTGTCATGGAAGGTTTGGAATACAACATTGATGATCTGTTTCAAGAAGCTAAGAGAAGATGGCTCAAGCCTGTAGAAGTGCTTTACATTTTACAGAATCACAAGAAGTGCGAGTTCACTGACAGGCCCCTTCATCAACCAACTGGTAACATCCTTGTGCCCTTTATGAAAATTGTTGAAAGAAGTGAATGGCTGTTTTTAGTGATTCTTGCATGTTACTGATTGTCAACTTCATTGCCAATTGACTTTCTTAATAGGAGGATCCCTATTTCTGTTTAATAGAAGAGTTATGCGTTTCTTCCGTAAAGATGGTCATAACTGGCGGAAGAAAAAAGATGGAAGAACTGTGGGAGAAGCACATGAACGGCTTAAGGTCTGTTGAAAGTGTTTGTGATGTTATGATCCTTAATTTTTTTTTGCATGAGGGTGAGCCTGGGCACTAGTACAGTAAGGTTACTGCAGCTCATGTTAGCCCCTACCATCTTCCCACTTTTGACATGCTTTATGATGTATGTAAATGCTGCAATTTGCACTACCAAATTCCTTTCTTTTGGTCTCACATAAGAATTATGCAGGGACAAAATGAGATGGAATATATAGTAATTGCTGTGTACTAATAGCAGTCTTCTACCAATTTGAATTTGAGCTGCTTCTACTTCATTGCTTTCCTTTTAATTTGTTGGAGGAAATTGATTAATAAAAATTTGACATTGATGCTATTATGCCTCGCATGCATGATGTATTTCTACTAGGCTTTTGTTCATTTTCTTGCATTAAATGCAAAAGGCTGCAAATGTTTACTGTAGGTATTAGAGATGGAATTATAGTCCATAAATCTACTAAATTATTAAGAAGAAATATTCAAATTTCAAAAATATTGAAACAAAGTATTATTCATAAAAAATTAAAGATCCTTGTTAGAAATTTCATTTTCAAATCACTTTCCTAGTCTTCTCTGCACCATAGATAGCTTCGAAAATGCTTTTGGAGAAACAGTAAGTACTTTGTTTGTCTAGCACTCATTATGTACAGAGTTGTAACAAAGCATTGAGACGTAACTGATACTGGTATTGAGCAAGTTTTGGATTTAAATATAATTCACTTTTTTCTGCTATATTGATGTCTTTGTCTTTGTCTTTTGATAGATTTTTATGTATTGATTTTCTCGATCTGATTGATCATACTAATCTGTATGATTAGGTTGGAAATGTTGAAATCCTAAACTGTTACTATGCACATGGAGAGGAGAACCGTACTTTTCAGAGACGGAGCTATTGGATATTAGACCCGTTAGTAAATTTTAACTATTATCTGGCCACAAGTCATTTTATTATGCTTGCCACTACTTGTTGTATCTTTTAAAATCTACATAAAAAAAGCTCATCCTAAAGGTAACCTCAATTACCAAGATAAAATTACATTAACTGTGAAACACAATCAACCTTCAGTATACATAACTAATTAAGTGTTTGTTTGCTTGTTAATATGTTATTGTAATGGATGTTCATATTTGCTCATACACTGTTGTTTCTTGACAGGGAATATGAGCATATTGTTCTTGTGCATTATAGAGAAACAAGTGAGGTGAGTTTCCAAAACATGATCAGATAAACATAATATGGTACTTGCAGCTTAATAGAAGTGTGAAAAATGGAGGCAGGAATCCTTTTTGTGCAACAAAGCTAACTATCCTAAACTCCTAACATGTTTCTGAAATGTTACTTGAAGCACTTCTACCTTTTCGGTGTTCTCATTTTATTGTTTTTCTTTTGAAATTTCAATCCTCTGTATTTTCCTTGTAAGTGTAAAGGAGCATTTCCCCTTGTAAGATCAATTTTCCTCTTGTATCTCATTCTTTAGACAATTGTTTCAATCTTCCTCTCACATTTGTTGCTATCTCTCTTCTATTTTCTTAGTTTGTTCATCGCTTGGGAATTTTATCAGCAGACTGGGCTGGAGTTGACATTACTGTTTACACACACATTTTGCAGGGGAATTCTGAACCTGTCACACAGTTGTTACCAGGTTCCTCTCCTGTGTTCAGTCAGAGTCATAGCTCACATACTACTCATAACCGAGGGACAACATCCATGTTTGATGATTCATATGAGCCTAATCAGAATTTCTCCAGTCTTGGGTCAGTAGAAGTTACCTCCTCTGACACACAAGCTTTACGCCAATTGGAAGAGAACTTGAGTTTGAATGAGGAAATTTGTAAGTGTTTCAATTCAATTAAGTAACATATGCTGGCTGCTTCTTCCACCCTCAGCTGATTTTCTATGACCGTTGAGTTAAATTTATAATAAACGTGCTTATTTTAAGTTGTCCAAGGCTGGCATAGCCATATCTTCTATACTTCCAATTTGGTACTGGTACCATCCTTTATTATAATCTTTCTTTAGGTGAAACCCATTTCCCGGATTGTTTCATGTGAATCTTAAAAGCCATGTAGCATGATTATTGTGAATCAGGTACCTGAAAATAAAAAGGTTCAAAATCAGAGTCTCACAATTAGGTTTCTTGTATCTAGAATCGCTCTAGTTGGAGCTCAAAGGATCTTCATAAAAATATATTAACCATGTGGAACATCTTTAAATATTTAACTCCATATGCTATGTAATATGTAAAGTTGTTTATCCGCTTTTGTGCTTGAGAAATTAAATTAAAAATGTGCTCAGACATTGATCATTGAAGTGTTTCATTGTAAATCAGTTATTCATCCACTCAACTTTTCTTTTGAAACTGGGACATTCAGCTTTAGATCACATTCAATTTATTTAAAAAACCTTTGTAGTCGTTTTCTCTACTCCTTATTATAGTTAAACATTGACTATAAAGATAGCAAAGCAAAATCTTCTGAAATTGGTGCATTTTCTGTAGATGACACTGATAAGTATTATCAAGAATTACTTGACGACTATCCTGACGGAAATGAAAAAGCTATGTCCTGGATGGAGGTGCTGGAATCGTGTAAGCCCTCATCTGTGACCAAGTTACCAGATCAACATGCATACCAGGCATTTGAAAATGTGAGTATTTGTAAGACATATTTCATGCTGTTAAGAGTTTATAATTTATGTTTGCTGGAATGTGCAAATAATTTATGTATTGCTGCACCTTTTGAAACAATTTTATCATTTAAAGCTGTCATTTAGATTCTATTTGTGTTAAGCTTTCTTTTGCAACTTGTAAAGAAATATAATTTCTATGCTTAAAACAGGAAATGTCACTATCTTCTTCTGGAAGGGGAATGATTGCAAACCAGGATAACAATCACTGGCTAAACATAAACAGTAATAATGCTGAAAACTGTATGACTTACTTTTACTTTAAATTACAAAAGAATTTCCCTTTTTGGCACATAATAAAATTTCTTCCATCCCTCCTTAATGTCCAATATCACCAGCTGTTTTCTCATTTCCTCAAGACGTTGATGGAGTCAAATTTCCTCCATATTCTTATGGAGAAACTCGAACTAATTATAACTACTATGCAACATTGTTTGACGAAATTCAAGAACCTCTGGGTGTAGATTCAAGCTTGACTGTTGTACAGAAACAGAAATTTACTATTAGGGCAGTCTCCCCAGAATACTGTTATGCCGCTGAGATGACAAAGGTTTGTGACTTTAATTTCAACACTTATTATGCCCCATGTAATGATTTCTGATTCTTTGCATTAGGGAATATTATCTGCTGAATAATGAAAGTGTAATTACTTTTCGGTGCTTATCACTTACTGCTTAGCTTTATCTATGTTCCTGTAGTGCTTTAAAATGCATACACAACATGGTTCAAATATGTATGAAATTATTTTGGTATAATGTAATGATATATATAATAATTAGGGAATTGTCATGTAAGCTCTTAGGGCTATACTTTTTCTCTACGCTCTTTCCTTTCCAACTTTTTTTGTTTTCTGGATGATATGATGTGCATAATATTATTTTTTTATTTGAATACTAAACTCCAAAGTTCTATGAACAGGTGATCATTATTGGGACATTTCTCTGCTCTTCCTCGGATTCTAACTGGGCTTGTATGTTTGGTGATGTTGAAGTTCCCGCCGAGATAATTCAGGATGGCGTAATCTGTTGTGAAGCTCCGTTCGGTCTACTTGGAAAGGTTAATCTGTGCATTACTTCAGGAAATAGGGAGCCATGCAGTGAAGTCAGAGAGTTTGAGTTTCGAAAGAAGACCACTAGTTGCACTCGCTGTAATTCATTGGAAACAGAAACCGGTAGTAGTCCAAAAGAGCTTTTATTACTTGTTCGATTTGCAGAGATGCTCCTTTCTGCTTCAACTACAAAGGATGACAGCATAGATTATGGAAATCATCCTTCAAGAAAACAGAAAGATGATGATGATGATGATTCATGGAGTCATATTATAGACACACTGTTGGCTGGCAGTGGAACATCATCTGGTACTGTTAACTGGCTTCTTGAAGAGTTGCTGAAGGATAAGCTGCAACTCTGGCTTTCTAGCAGATCTCATGAAAGAGATGAAGGGACGGGCTGCTCTTTGTCCAAGAAAGAGCAGGGAATTATACACATGGTTGCTGGGTTGGGTTTTGAGTGGGCCTTGAACCCCATTCTAAGTTGTGGTGTGAATATAAATTTTCGGGACATCAATGGACGCACTGCTCTTCATTGGGCTGCATGGTTTGGGAGGTAATAAAAAATTGAACTGTTGATATTGGCATGCAATTGTGATAGCATCTTTCTTTCAAAGATAACAAAATATGCTTGATAAAATCTGTTTAGAAACCTTTCCTTTATCCTTAAGAGAAGCGAATACAGATACAAAGAAAGAGAACAAGAAGCACTGGTAGAGCCTGTCTCTAATACCTACCCAGGTAGTCAAGTGTTAGAAATTGATGGCTTCATTTAGGGTGCAGTAAACCACATGTAATAGGATGCTTCACATATCAGAAATCATTGGGGAAGCTTCAATCATTATTGAACATGTTATAAAGCCTTATCAATCATAGCCAAGTGCCTAGTTTTTTATTTCATCAACCACCCAGCCTTTTTCCACATATGGGATCAGCTACATTAATTAAATAATGACATTGTGTTGGGCCAAAAACAAATCTTTTGTAAAGGTCAGTTAAATAAAAGTTTTTCTCAATGGTTTCTCTTGGAGTTTACTTTGGCCTTCCCCTCTTGCTATTTATTTGGCTGTCCTACTCTATATGACTAATTCTTCTTTTTGAGGCCTCTATTGGTCTTCTCACATGACAAAACCATCTTAAAACCAGATTATGTCATTAATGATATTAAGATTAAAACTCCTGCTTATAGAGGCCTGAATAAATTAGTTGTTCCATTCTAAGTGTTCTGGAGTTGTGTCACTGAAATATTTTATTCCATGATAGGGAAAAAATGGTTGCTTCACTTATAGCTTCGGGTGCATCTGCTGGAGCTGTGACAGATCCAACTTCACAAGATCCAACTGGTAAAACTGCTGCATCTATTGCAGCCAGCCATGGCCATAAGGGACTGGCAGGTTATCTTTCAGAGGTAGATCTAACAAGCCATCTGTCATCCCTCACATTGGAAAAGAATGAGATTTATGAAGACTCTTCACTTGATGTCGAGTTAACTGTCAATAGTGTCTCTAAGGAAAATTTTGTAGCCAGTGAGGATCAGGTTTCACTAAAAGCTTCATTAGATGCTGTCAGAAATGCAGCTCAGGCAGCTGCACGGATACTGGCTGCTTTTCGTGCACATTCTTTCAGAAAGCAAAAAGAAAGAGAAGCTGCCGCTGCTGCAGGTCTAGATGGGTATGGTATTGCTGCAGGTGGCATTGATGATACCATTTCAGTGCTTTCTGCTCGGAGCTTACATGATTGCAATCTAGCTGCCTTATCAATTCAGAAGAAATTTCGAGGTTATAAAGGTCGCCAAGAATTCTTAGCATTCCGCAGAAAAGTAGTTAAGATACAGGTAATAGATAATACATTACCGATTTATCTATCCTTGCACAAGCCTCCTAGCCTCTTATTAATTACGCACTTTTAACAATTTTTTTAATAATTAATTACGCTTTTTTTTTTTTCTCTTTTTCGAATTGGTTAAAAGTGCGTAAATGGTGAGTCTTATTACAGTTATGAATTCCAAGAGTTCTGCATGCATGTGGAGAATACTGGCACTAAGATACTTTATAAAATGAATATTGGTAGACATGCACAGGCAAACATCAAACTGCAACTAAAATTTTGTTACCATTAACCTCAGCTTTTCTACATTTATTTGGGCAGGCTTGTGTGAGGGGTTACCAGGTTCGGAAGCATTACAAGGTAATATTATGGGCAGTTAGAATCATGGACAGGGTTGTGCTACGATGGCGGAGAAAACGAGTTGGTTTACTAAGGGTTCAGCGAGAAGTGGAATCAGGTGAAGAAAGTGATGATGAAGATTTTCTTAAGGTGTTCCGAAAAGAGAAAGTACATGTAGCAATTGAAAGGGCTTTGAAGAGGGTGCTTTCCATGGTCCAGTCTACCGGTGCTCGTCAACAATATAGTCGCTTGCTTCAGATGTATCGTCAAGCCAAGGTAAATAAACTAATAAAAGCAAGAAACAATTAATAGGTCTTTTGATGTGTCTATCAGTTATGCCACCTTTTGCATTCAGATTGAGCAAATAGTAACTAATTGTTAATGCGTAAGGCTTTCATAATATTGTGCATATATCTTTACTATGAGAGGCAACAATAAGATGATAGTAACTCTTGCAATGTTTTCAATTCTTTTACAGGTTAAACATGGCAGCACGACTGATGAACCACCCTCATCAACCTCGGCTGCGGATGTTTCCAATATAGAAGATGATGATTTGTCTCAATTTCCCTGGGAAACGATCCTGTCTTCCTAGTTTTTTCTCTTATTTGATAAATTTCTGGCTTCACTGTTTATGTGTTATTTGTATCTGGATGTGTTGAAGAAGCTTGGTTTTAGTTTGTCAGTCAGTCTAGGTTGTATATAGTAAGTGATAATGGCGATGGATGTATTCATATGTACAAAATGTCCTTTCAATGCGAGCAGCATATGATTTCAAATTCAAGGGATTTCTGTTTTTAAAACAGTTTTGTGTTTTTAAAAATTCAAGGGATTTGTGTTAGAATTAATTTTTGAAAACAGAAAACTATTTTAAAAACAGAAATTAAACATACCCGAAGTTTCTCTTATTTTTTCTTTGCAAGTCCTAGTTTTTGTCTCAATTTAGCCGTTTCTGGTGGCAGCTACTTATAAAATTTTTACACTAAATTAACTTACGTATTATGCATTAGTAACTCATTAAATATGAAGCGTCAATAGATTGATTTGATAAGAGTGCAACAATTTTCATATCAATAATAGAAGATTAAATCAAAGGGGTTAATTATTTTACGTGTATATACACGGACATACGTAATATAACAATTAAATGATGATTTGGGTGCATGTTCCTTCATCAATGGTTTGGACCACATATCAAGACTCAATTTAAGGACCCCACCCAACATCACAACGATGATTTTCTAGTAAGGCCAAGGCATTGTGATGTGAAGACAAATTTCCCATAAAAAGGTACTAGCACTAACCCCACAGGGAAAGTTGGATGATGCTAGAGATGAAGAGAAGGCATAACAAAACCAATATGCCACGTCTCTCTCTCACGTGTTTTCATTCAATAATAGAGATGTTGACGGTGGGTGAGAACCGACAGAGAAAGAGCCTTTATTATTGTAAAGTCTATACAAAAATTTGTCTCCGGTGGCGATGGAACAAGATCGAAGGCTTGAGCTCATAGACCATGCAATTCAGAAGCTTATACTCGACAACAGAGACGAAGTCCAAGGATCCCAACATAACCATAACCATCACGACGCTGAATACCAACTCGCTCTTGCCCACTTACTCTCTGTCTCTCAGGTATCTGCAATTCATGTCACACCACACACAACATGCGAGCTTCATTTTCATCCTTATATATGGTCTTTTTTGTTATAAAGTTTGTTAACTATCTTAATATTTAATGGCATGCGTTAATATTTGATAACATACATGCATGCATGCTCAATTATTAGCAGTTGGAAATGTTGAAAGGAGATGAGACAGTTAAGAAGCAATCCGAAGCTTGTGTGGTTCAGAAAACAGAAAGCGAGAATGAGGATGGTGGGGGAAGCGAAAATGAAGAGATAATGAAAGAGCTGAAGAAGGTAAAGAGGCAGAATTTCGTGACCCATTGTCTTCTTTCAGTGATGATTGTTCTAACAGTAGTATGGCAAGTATCAGAGGTATCTCTTATTTTGAAAATGAAAGATGGACTAAGCCACCCTTTTAGATCCTTTGGAAATATGCTGAAAGGGATTGTGAAAGTCCCAGATGTTAATGGCCAGGAAGATGACAACAAGCAACACCCACCACCACAAGAATCACCATCCCTTCCTTCTTTAGGTTTACAAAATGGAAAAGAATGAGACTCTAGTGTTCTCTTCTCATTTATGACCACAGAAATGCCAAGGAACATTTTAAGGTATTGCTTGTATTGTTCATTCCCACTTCTTGTGGTATATGCAACTGTTGGTTGATACGTGTTGCATCTTCTTGTAGCATATTCATGGATAATGAATGCCATTACGATCGTATCCAAAATGTCAAATTTCCCCTAATTTAGATGACAACTGATTAGGAGCAAGGGCTTCATGTCAACATCAATTGCTTTTACAATCCTAATCAGATTCTACGTGTAGTAAACATATTCAATTTACCTCAAAGTCCAAGAGGTATATATCTTTCTTTTTTACTCTCTTATTTATAATATTGTAGTTGGTGTGTGTTAGTCATTCAATGCAAACGTTTACTTTGTATGGCAGTTAGTCATTGAACTGGGAAATGGAAATAGACTTTGACCAAGAGTTGGAAAGGAAAGGGCAAAAGCCTTTGGGCTCACAATTTGAAAAATACGAATATCATATCACTTGCGTACTTCATCGTAGTTTTTCACCACACTACTCTGAAGAAGACAGGTACTAGTTAACATTCTAAGCAACCTCATAATGATATGCTTAAGTTTGTTACTGAATGATGAGAACCAACATTTAGTTTTGGCAATCAAATCAAATACAAAATATATAAATGAGAAGACATGCATAAACAAATTCTAAGTAATAAATTTGTACGGGACATTCGGAGCAAATATATTAGAGTTTTCAACCAACAATATGCATGGATCTTGAACAATTTATCCTTGCAAGCGTTTTGACCAATCACAACAGAAAATGCTAAACACAAGAGGCACAATTATGCGTCCAACACGAACCAAAAAGAACTCATTTTCAATTTCAAATGTCTGAAGTAAAACAGCTGTAGGCAAACTTCTATTTCCATTTCTTCAAGCATAGTTCAAACGGAATATGTCATTCAACACATAATAGCTTCCCTGTGGCGTTGGTATCAAATGGAACATCTGACAACAGAAAGATTAGTAAGTTTAGTCGTCATGATTAAATAGCAATAAACAATAGAAATAAAATAGCAAATCAGTAAATGAACGTGAAGTACCAAAAATAAATTGAGTGCGGATTCAATCCAATCTAAGAATGTAAAAGAGAGTACTTAAATTTTTTTGCCTATTTACCCTCTTTATATTATTTTCCCTTTTAACATCATACATGCTTCTAAACAGTAACAATAATAAATAGCAATTGCAATCATATTAAATTCTTCACTCCTCCTTTTCTTTGGTTACATAAAACATCATTAACAAAAAAGCATCATAAATATCTCAAAATTGGAAAAACAATCCCAATCACTCTAATCACGCATAGGTGGCACTAGCCCTAGATCCAAACAAGTGAACGTGAAGTAAGGGATAGTGAAAATCAAGTAAGACCCAGTAGAGAGAAAAAGAAGGGGAACAAGAAAGATGCGATTTTGACAAAGTTAATCAAGTGGGTAACAGAAAAGCAAAAAGACCAACCTGGCTGAACTTGAGGGCATGCTGTTCGCCGGCGAGTTGGAGGTTGCCGCTAACGAAGACAAGCATGCCGCCGTTGACGCCGGAGGGTTGGGAATCGACGGTGGTGATGGAGTGTTGACACTGTTGGAAGGGAAGAGAGGTGAGTTTGGCGACGATGTTGTGAGAGCCTTGAATCTTTTGACCTTCGAATGAAAGCATTGAACCTTCTTGATAGAGATTAGCGAGAGAAGCACGATTTGCGTCGAAGGTTGAGTAGTAATGTTCAACGAATGCCCTTGCCAGTGCGTCTGGATCCATCGCCATTGTTTCGCCGCCTCTTTCTCTGTTCTCTCTTCTCTCTTCTCTCTTCTCTGCCTCACTCTCACGCACTCTTTTAAATACCAATTCACTCTTCACTCCTTTTGTTATTTTTATTTTTATTTTTATTTTTTAGTAAACCCTCGACTTCACCCTATTATTTTTCTATCTTTTAGGTTTATAAAATTTTTGCGTTAATCTTTTTATGCTATATCTATATTTTATATTTATTGTTTTCTTTTTATATTAAAAAATTAAAGAAAATATTTAAAATTTCAAAAATTAAAATGTTCTGTCATGTAATTTTATTTTATTTTTATAGAATCGTGTCATGTAATTTTGAAGATTTACTTTTATTGTGTTTGGATAGAAAACCCACCACTTTGGCCCAAAATTATTGAGACATGATAATAACTCACTCCTCAGTCCTTTTTTTATTTCTAGTAAACCCCCCAACTTCACGATTATTATATCTGGGAAATTTTTATTTTTTGTAAACTTTTTATCTCATTTTTTATTAGTTTTAAACTTTATAAATACTCACCAAAAAAAAAAACTTTATAAATACTGATTATTTTATTTTTTACTGTTATTTTACAGAAAAGGAATAAAATAAATGTTAAAATTAACAAAAAAAAACCTACCTCTATGAATATTACAAAATATATATATATGAAAAAAAAAAAGTCAACCTATTAATACCACTAAATGTTTATCTATATAAAAATAAAAATTTAAAACAAGCGTCGACAGCAGGGTTCGAACCTGCGCGGGCGAAGCCCAACAGATTTCAAGTCTGTCTCCTTAACCACTCGGACATATCGACTCAACCTATATTTGTTTGCCAATTTATATATCTGTAATATTTACATGTTGAAACTATTTTGACAGAAGGAATTAATTGTTGACACGTCAAACATCAATTGTTGTCGGTAAAATTCTGGTATGAACGAATAATATAAGAAAGATTCTGGTTTATATGTAGTGTGTTTTTTTACTTGGAAAGGATTTGTGACAACTATGATGTTCCAAACCGTTCAGCTCAAGTGACAATAACCTTCAAACTAATGATACATAAGCAAGCATGAAGTAACTTGTTTACGTTGATGTATTAGTGAAGGCAATGAACATGTTCTAAACACTCTAACCTGTTTTATATTATTTAAAGAAATTAACAAATGTAGGAAGACAACGCACGGGAAGTGAAAGGAAATGTCCAAATAGGCCCCAAAAAATCAGTCAAATATTATATATTTCAGTGATAAATAACTAGTTTGAAAGCCAAATCCGGCACTGTTGCGAAACAAAAGGAAGCGAACATGATGTGGGCACCCATTGACTACTAAGTAATCTTCGTTGTAATGCTCTTTTACTTTTGGTAAAATCGTTGTAATGCTCTAAAAAGAGCTACTAGAATTAACCTTATTTATAAATAGCTTTGGAGGAACCCTGCAATCAACTTCTTTAAAGCCCGTTTGGAAGACAGAATTTAAAAAAAAAAAAAAAAAGATAAAATTTGATAATTGAATAAGAACAAGAGAGTATAACTGAAAATTTGGTTTCAGTCTTTCACAGCATAGCAGAGTTGTTTCCCATTCAAATTTGGTGATCACACTGTTGGTAGTTAATGGAAACAAATACGAAAACCATATTTTCTTCCATTCAAAAGACCTCATCAAGGATCCTCTCTCGCCCCTCTCCATAGCCACCCAACACACACGAGCAAAACCCATTTCTTACTGAATACAGGAAGAAACTGCAATTTTATATCACTTTTCTACCACGATGTTCGAGGATGCGGTATTCATAACATGTAACCCAAAGTAATGTTTACATGCTTGTAAGCACGTAAAAAACACGAATCACTACAAACCCATATTATTTTTCATCTATTCTGTTAAACCAGCAATGAACATCAGAATTTTGTACATCGACACCGAAGGCCTGCAAATTGCAAAGAACCACACAAGACTGGAGGGAAAAAAAGACAGGCCATTGATGTCAGAGATACAAGCAAAATCATGCCACTGCAGTCAGGCATGGATGAAATGCAGTACCACATGCTATCCCCTGTCGTTTTCTCCCATGCGGCACCACACACCCAGGAACCTTCAGCCATTCTTTCCTTGCTATGTTGTATATAACCAACCGGTTCATTTGTTTTGATCTCAAAGACAACATGAGCAAGCCTTTGTTACCCAGGCAAGTCATTTTAACGTGCTTCCCATAAAAGTCCAAGCACCATATGTTTGGCATTCTGTCAACCTCCTTCCACAAGAGTGTCATTTTCTGCAGCTCCCATATGCATACACAAGTGGCTGCATTCTTTGTGAGCAAGCCCACAAGCATGATCTGGCCATCACACTCAGCCAGAGTATGATCAGTCAGATGCAACGGCGCTGGGATTATGTATTGTTTCCAAACCCCAGATGTCATATCGTAGGAAACAATCCCTTCTGGATCCGAACGCATGAAGTGAAGTGTGCTGTCAATAGAGACAGCTTGAGACCTAAAGTTGAGCAACAATGGCAGCTTCATACCTGCAGGCATGTTTCCTGGACGACTCCAAGAATTTCTGACTGAGTCATATACTTCATATTCTCCATCACAACCCACCCATAAGATTTTGTAGCCAGAACCAGCTGAGTTTCCATTTATTGTCATCCCTACAGCAACACGAGACCAGACCTTAATTGACCGAGCTGGCAACTCCTTGAAGGATTGATTTAGTGGGTTACAAACATAGAAGTTTCGATGACCGATGTCAAGAAAGCAAACTAAACCCCCTGCAGAAGCCACTGGTAGAAACATCAATTTTGTGGGCAGTTTTGCTATAGTAATGTGATGCCATTTCTTCAAAGAAGGGTCGTACATGGCTCCTGAAGTCACACATTCGTGGGTAACGGTGTAAAACCATGGATTTTCTTGTGGGACTCGAGCACAATGCTGAGAAAAACTTTGAGAAGTCAGCATGGAATTCCACTTCCGGCATACGGAGCGGAAGCGGAAAAATGTCGCAATGGGAAGTCGTGCAATCACGGCCTCAAATAAATCTTCAGGAAAATCTTTCCAAACTTCTTGTTCCATAACTTCAGTTGTACTAGATCTTCCAAATTTGCCCCTGCTTCTATCTCTTCGAGACTTCTTAGTAGGTGGAGATTTGAGAGGCTCCAACATCTCAAAACTTCCAGACTTTCCAGCTGCCATTACAAGGCCACAGCAGTCATCTATGGAGCTATCTTCAAGGTCAAGGGAGGTCCACCTGTGAAAAGTATAAACAAAAATTTTCATATGCTTGCATATGATGAGGGAAGAGGAGCAGTACACGAATTTGATATTTCTTGAATTGTCAGTGTAAGTGCATCAATCATGCTAAGAAAAGTTATACAATCGGTAGCAAAAATGAGACTTCACCTTAGACAACAGAATCAGGACTACTTATATTAAGAAAAATTGCATGTATGCTAGAAGATATCAAAGTAGATAGTAGGTAAGATGAAACCATATATTTCAATGATCAAGAGGATTTAAAACAAACATCGATACAAGCATGTGTCCTCATAAATTTGCACAAGCATAACTGCCCTACTGTACATATCAGAACATGTACACAACTAGAATTAATTAACAATAGGATTACTGATACATCCCCCTAAATGAAAACCACACTAAACATTCTTCACTGGCCATCCTATCTGATTTCAGAGGAGTACTATGTGCCAAAACAGACATTATCAAAACCACAATTGTAAAAAGAATTGCAATTTTCCATCGTTGCACTTAGCATGTAATGTAGCAAACATGTCAATTTCTAGCGATAGGATATCTATCTAACCTCAGTGTGTTGCACCAACAGATTAGAAAAAAATCGGTCCATCAGAAATTCAATTTAAAACTATCAGTGTTCCAAAGAAACCTAATTAAAAAAAAAAGAAAGAAAAAGGCTTGAAACGGAAGTCCAAGCAAGAATTGAGTATGTTCTCACACCCTTTGGGCTAAAATGTCGATTGAATTGACAACAAAAAACCCTCGTTTGCGAGAGAGCATGACACAGAAGCAATGCAGAAAATGAAAGAATTAAAGAAGGTAACTGAATAAAAAGAAAGAAAAGAAATAGATCTGAGAGAGAGAGGGAGAGAGAGAGAGAGGGAGGGAAGCAAAACCTGGGATGTTGAAAGAGAAGAGTGTGATGAGAAGGTTGAAGAATGAGAGAAGAATGAGAATGAGAATGAGAGTGGTAAGAGTCCAAAACCTGCTGAAGCTCACCGATGAGTTGCTTCAGCATCCCCACCCCTTCCATGCCCCAAACCAAACCCAACCAAACCAAAACCCAAACCAAACCAAACCAAACCCTCTCTCTCTTATCCTTCCTTCCCTTATATTTCCTATTCTTACATTACCCACTCTTCTCTTTCCACTTTTCTTCACAATCACAACGCCAACGCGATTCCATTTTTTTTTTTTCAAGATCCGTTAACGTTTTATTTTAATTAACATAACTTATTTTCATAAACTTAAACGAAATATTTATATCATAATATAAAGTTTATTAAGTAGTTTACGTTTAATTTTATCTAACTTTAAAATAAACGAATGACTATTTTTTTTCTATCCACCATAAAAAAGAGAGAGAAAAAAAAGCTTTGTTGAATTCTTCGGTCGCTCCTTACAAATTATAAAAGATTAATTATATTTACAAATTATGCTGCTATATAATAGAGTTGTCTTTAAAATATATTTTTTTTTTACTAACTGAAATACACATTAATCAAGTAAAACGAAGATATATGTGAAAGTTGAACTTCAAAAATTATTTACTAAAAAAATCCTTCTTTCTTTCAAATTTAACTTTTAATCGTAATATTTTGAAAAAAAAATACTAGGTGTTAGTACAAAACAATAATAAGATATTAAAATGCTTATAAAAATATTTTAATACTTTTTAAACACAAAATGTTAAGAATGTGTTTTATAAGAGTGACTTTTTTTGAATAGTAATAAATTTAAATTATATATTTACACGTTAATGACTAAAGTCATTTATAAATAATGTTGAGTGGCTATAAAAAAATTAAATTTTTAAAAAAATTTGTAATATAGAACTTGATTTAGGTTAATTCACAAAAAACACATATTTAGTTAAATTTAATTTTAGATTTTTTTAATAATGCAATTAAAGTTTTAGGATTTGAAAATTTTGAATTAATTAAATTAAAACTACGAACGTAATTAACTTGAATAAAAATAGATTAAAAACTATCAATCCACAAAATTTTAAATGCATGTAATTTTAATTATCACAATATCTAAATATTTTAATTCACGTTTGAACAATCACCTAATCTAATTATTAATTCAATCAAATAACATAATTAAATTATATTATAATTTAAATCAAATTATCATTTAATATAATCTGAATTAATTATCAAATTAGAATATCAATCAAATCTTAATTTGAATTCTAACCACATAAAAGTTAATCATAATTACAGTTTATAAGTTTGAGATTAAAAAAAAAAAAACAAACTCGGAATAATTTGCCAAAAACTCAAATCGAATTTATACCATCTAGATTCTGCAAATTGAATGAGAAGTTTAGTCTTTTATCGAAACACTTAATTTAAACGAGAATGAGAAAAATATGAAAGAATTCGAGAGAAAGTAAAAACAAATATTCTTATTAAAAATAAAATTTCAAAAACTTAAAGTGTCAAATTGCACACCTAATTTAGAGTTCATTGGTTTATTTATAGGTGTTGATTATGGTAAAATAAAATGACCAAATTAAGACTTCAATTATAACTAAAAGGCCAAATACAATTATTTAATAACAAATGTCCAAATGCAATCTCACAATAAAATTCAGCAATTTTGCCTTAATTTTAAAAAATTAAAAATAATTTTAAATCTAGCGATCCATATATGCATTTTAAAGCTTTAGATATGCAAAATCCAATGTAACTAGAATCAGCAAAAAATATATATATAAAAAAAGTTATGACCAAAAGAGCTGTTAGATGTCAGAATAACTAAAAAAATAAAATTAAAATATTTATTTGTAATAAGTCTAATTTATTCAAAAAATTATAAAATAATAAAAACTCTAAAAATAAACTATATAAAAAATATAAATTAAAATAAAATTATAAATATAAACATAAAATATTTCACATTAGTCATATTTCTTAAAATCATGTAATAACTTTAAAATTGTACATGTAGTTAAAATAACAACTTCATTCATACTTTAATCTTAATTTTGCAATGAAATATTAAACAAAAGTTTTTTAATATGTATTTAAAGACACATAATAAACATTTATATAATAAAACTTAATTAAAAAATAAAAGAGCATACAATTTAATACATTAATAATATTAAAAATTATAATTTTTTAATAAAAAATTATTTTTTGTTAACATGTGGCTTGTGTACACTGTAAAAAATATATCAAATAATGTGAGTTTTCAGTAACTATCGACCAAACAATTGTAAAGAACAAATTATTTGATGGTTTAAGATTATCTAATATTTGGTGGTTGCCACTCATACTGTATAATATATTAAAATTTTCCCTCTCATACCCATTTGGTAATAGTGTTCAACATGACAATCAAGATAAACTTTAATCCAGTCTAGTCAATTCTACACATTAAACCATTCCCTAATTTACACATTAAGTAGATGCAAGATTTCTTTCAGTGAAGGTTCTTTACTCCTTAAGTTTACTTTGTTAAATAATAAACATATAACATAAGCTACAAAAACTATTAGCTTTTACTCCAAAAGATCTCTCACTTCTGTCTAAAGCTATTTGGAGTTTACAAGCAAAATTGAAGCTATTCTCGAATCTTGTAGGGTAAATCTCTTGCACGTTTAGTAAGTTACTTAATTAAAAAAAATTGTTTGATAAATTTTTATCAGATAAAAATTAATTTATTACATCATACAAATATTTCTTATGAAAATTACTTAATTATGTAAATTTTAGCTGTTATTTCTCAATTAATGACCATAAAAAATTCCTAAAGTGACAGACTAAGTCAAAATCATATGACAATTGTGAGATAAAGTAAGTAATATAACAAACAAATTTAAAAAGGTTATGAAAATATTATATAAATAAAAATAACTTTAAAATAAATGATTTAATAAAAAATATAACTAAATATGAGTCGTAAAAGGTGTTTTGAAAAACAATCTTTTAAAAACATCTTAATTAAAAAATTTGTACAAACAACTTTAGCAATTACATACCAAGTTAACTAATACGAGTAAAGGAGTCTCCTTATAAATGAGAATGAAAAAGTTACGTAACATGTAAATAACAATGACCCAAATACAATGTCTGAAAAATTTATAATTCATTGATAGAAGTTTTTCTTTCTTTTTTAAAATAAAAAAAAATCATAATGATTATCATTTCCCTTTTTTGATTTCGGGACCACGTTTAAAATCAAATAAACTTGGACACAAAACAATGCATATGATTAAATAATAAATTTATATAAAATAAAGTTGTTAGTAAGACATTCTTTAATATATTATTTATAAATATATTGTTTAATATTTGTTAAAATTATTAAAAATTATATGCAATTGGTTAGCAGTTTTATCATTAATCCAACCTGGTACACACCGTGTCCCATGGTCACTTTCCAGATCAACGGTCCATATTTCATATGCGTGGCCCCTTCTTTCACACAGACCGCACGATTTTCCATTCAATGGTTATAAGTGTCACCAAATGAGGAGTAATTATTATTTGTTTCACTTTAATAATAAGAGAAGCACTTTGATTTTCAGCAAATAAATTAACAATATTGTTTCATTAACTTAAAATAGTATATTTCTATTTAAATTACACTGATTGGAAAATTGAATTTTGAGTATTAGATAAGAGGGTAGCCCGCAATGGAAGCATCATGCAACATCCGACAACCTGAAAAGTGAATGGAAATGCATGTAAGAAATAAAAGGAAAAGGAGTTGGGAATGTGATTTGCAATTTAAGGAAAAGAATTGGGAGGTTGGAGATGAAAGAGAAGGATAAGGAAGATGCAATGCAATGGAGTGGGTGTCTTTTGAATTTGAATGATTAAGGAGCATATTTTGCTGTGAGTAATGATTTCATTTTGCCTAGGGAAAGGAAGAGAGGAATTTGGTTACATTGGTTGGTGGGTGTATAGTGTATCATTGCTCCAATGTTCATCATCATCATGGATATCTATCCATTTTTATTCACTTTGCTTTTTCATCTTATCCTTCATATTCATTGTTCCACAACCCCACCCTTTTTCCTCAAAATAGCTAATATTGGGTACATGAATATGATTCATTTGAGTTTGAGTAATCCCCGCTTGATGGAAAAACAGAACCAAATTGCAATTGTTTAGAATGTTGAATGAGAATTGAAAAAAAAAAAAAAAAGCACCAACCTCTCATACCTCTGTGTAGGTAATTTGAAAAAGACTTATGATAAAATAACATATAGTTTTTCTTTTTCTTTTGTCAACAAAATAACATATAGCTACAACAAGGATTTGTTTATAACGTGAAAAATTTTGGTAGTTGGTCAAGTTTCAAGATCATGAGTCTCTCTGTTTTGGGCCATTATCTTCTGAATCCAAGTAGGGGCCTGCCAGCCACAACAAGTCCCAGTTAAGCCCATTGTTGGACTGCCGAAAGAAACCCATTTTTAAACAAAAAATGGTGAGCCCGTTATAGGTTCCTTTCGGGAATCCTTGTGACAGTCAAAACCAATAGTATAAAGTAGACCAAAAAAAGAAAAAAGAACAAACCAATAGTAGGAATAAAAAAGTTTGAAAGATAAGAGAGAATGGTATAAATCTCTCAACTCGAGAAAGCTTAAAAATATAGAATTATGAGAATTTTAGATAATTTATAAATTTTTCTACTTTTATTTAAAAATTCTCAAATATTACCAAAGTTTTTCTTTTTTCTTCTCTCAAATAAAGTCTAACATTTCAGAACGACTTTAATTATCTCCAGCGGTTCAGCATTTTACAGCAGAAATTTCTACATTTATATCAAATGGTTATAAAATGTTATAATGTTTCACAAGTAGTGAATCTTGTGTTTGACATTAGGTAATTTTATTTTTGCTGGGTATTCAGCACGGCAGCAGATGATCCAATTTGAAGCTTAGTAAACCACATGTTAAATAATGTATTTATATATTACTTTTTTTTTCTTGCTGGTTCATTTTTCTTCCCAAAATTATGGCATAATAGCTTTGGAGGGTCGAGGGATTGTACTTTCATACGCAAAACCGGTGGCGCATGCATCCAAAATTAAGAAACAAGCAGAGAGGCTGCAGATGCAAGGTAATTCCCACA